AACTTTTCTTCTTCCCCACACTTCATCCTCTGTCAATCTATTCTGTGCCTCGTTCCAAGAAGGATCCAGGAGGTTGAATGGGCCGTTTCCATAGCTTTGGGGTTACAGACTTCAGTTTGATTAGCTATCACAAAGCAGACAGCCTGGTAGATTGATTGATTGATTGATTGAATGATTGACTTTTGGTACCAGGGATCAAACTCAGGACCTTGTGCTTACGAGGCAGGCAGTGGAACCACTGAGCCAAATCCCCGGCCCTAACCTGGTAACTTTGGATGCTACATCACTTCTCTGAATCTATTTCCTCTTCTGTAAAGTGGGGACATTATGGCCATTCTTCATTAGGATTCTTTTTTTTTCCAGGGCTGGGGGAGCATTTACTGGTGATTGAACTTGGGACCTTGCACTTTTGAAGCAGGCAGCAGAACCCCAAAGCTAAATCCCGGGCCCTTCATTAGGATTCTTGAGAGAATGATGTATACATAAAGCACTAAAACAGAGCCTGACACATCTGAAGGATACTCAGTTATCTTGTGTAGACCTCCTGGCACTAATTTTTACTGAGGAGGAAACTGCAGTAAGGAAAAAGAGTTTGCTTGTCCCATGTCTCAGTCAACTCGAGCTTATACGCTAGTAACTCCAACAATACTGCAAGAATTAAATCCACCTGGGGATTGTGTGCACCTGAGTAGATGAAGCATCTAAAGAAAGTATCACAGCGATAAAGTGCTTTAAAAATGACAGTATTTGTAATTGTTAGGTCAAGACTGGATCCAATACTTGAGCTCAAAGCTTAGAGCCTGCAAGTCAGGCAGCCAAGGAAGCTGGAAGCAAGGACTCTGAGCTCTACTTTTGTCTCCGCTTCTGCCTCTGAAAGGATGGAGACACAATTAAGTCTGTGAGTGCTTATCTTGGTTTAATGACATTCAAAGTGGAGCTTCGTGGAGATTTTCTAAATACAAAAGTAATGCAAACTCAATATAGACTTTTGAGTGGGGGAGGACAGGAAAAAACATTTAAATCTTGTCATTTCAGTACTCACAGCAAAGCACTGTTAGGTATGTGCCATTTCAGTATTTTTGAACAGGTCAACAGAATTTCATTAAGATTGTAGACAATCAGGGCAAGGATTTAGCTCAGTGGCACCGCGCCTGTCTTGTAAGGACACTGTTCTGAGTTTGATCCTGGTACGGGGGGGTGGGGGGGAGGTAAGACTGTGGACAATCATAAAGTCTGGGTTTTTAAAAACTCTTATTTTACTTTTTGACAGGATGTCACTATTGGCACAGGCCAGCTTCAGCCTCCCGAGTGCTGGGCTTCCAGATGTGCCAGCTTAAAAAGAAAGTCTTGAAGTGTTAGAAAAGGAAGAGCTATCATCAGGGCCATCATGTCGAATAATGGCACCTCCATTGTTTGGAGCCCAACCTTCACAGACATAAAAGCAACCCTAGCTCTTCAAGCGTACAGTACTTAGTTCCGTGGTTCTAACCTTCACTACCCCGCTGTAAAGTGCCAAGGGGAGTATCACACTCCTTTGAAGCAGGTGACTGACGCGTGGGTAGTCATGATCTTGGAAAGGAGAGAGAGCGCGAAGGGTGAAGGACTGCCATACTTTAAGGGGACAGATCACGTCTGGAAAAAGAAGTAATCTGGAAAAGAAACCCTAAACCTGTACAGGGATTCACTACTCTGAGTTTGGAGGGAATCCATCTCTGAGATGAGATTCACTCAGTCCCGAAGTGACCAGAGGTCAGACTGAACACAGACCCAGGATACTCCCTAACTTAGTCCGGTTCTTTGACCAGGGAATCAGAAAGAAAAGTGTTCAAGTTCCAGGACTTTCACTCATTAGCTTTTGATTTTCAACAAGTCATTGAACTCAAGCCTCAGTTTCTTCATTTTGGAAAACAAAGTTGCCATATTTTTCATCAGGTTTGGATTGGGGGTACTTTACAACAATTGAGTGTTAGATGCTAGGTACTACACAGTGAACTCTGACTAAATGATAGCATCATTTAATACTAATACTAACCCTATGGGGATGCAGACTTTTTTATATCCATTTTACAGGTGGGGAAACTGAGGCCAAGTAAGTCCCTTACCTTACATCGCGGAGCTTGTAAGTGGCCTGGCTGGGATGGAAATGGAGCTCTGTCAGTCTGACAGCAATGCTGCCCCATAATACAAGTAATTTTTAGCACAGTCTTGCAAACTACAAACACCAAGGAGCAGCCATCATTATTTACTGTTATTATTGTGAACATAATTACTATGTTACGTGTGATTGATTGGTTCCTGCTTTTAATCTCCTCCACAGGGAAACCAAGAGCCAGTACCTCCAAGAAGTACAAAGAGGTGTCAGCCTCACCCAGCCCCAGGCCATGCTCATGCCGTCCAGGGGTAGGGGGTAGGGGGCGTCTCTTCAAAACTTTGGCCTGAGCTGTGGGAAGGAAGGCCTGAGACAGACTCACCTCTTGATTGGGATGTAGGACTCCTGTTAGAGAGAGGTCTGGTGACCATGCAAACCGGATTACTGTGTCCCTGCTTACCTGTTCCAGACCGCTAGCCCCTTCGTCCCACTGGGGGGGCCTTTCTGTGTGTAAAGAAAAACCCTGTGCCCCATGCTGTGGACCTCTACTGGTCTCTGCAGATGGGCATGGGGGATTTAGAGAGGCAGGACCCAGAGAAAGAGAGAGAGGGAGAGAGGGAGAGAACCCATTTTTAAAAGCCCAGCAAGCATGGGCTTGCTTCTTGGAATCCCAGCCCCACCCCCCCGGCCCAGCCGTCGTGAGTCACCCTACAGCCCTTCACCTGTGCATTGCGACACAGCTGACAGAAACCACAGCTGCCGAGAGGTGGGTAGACAGGCACACACAGAGAAGTGTGCCATCCTTTGGGCTGCAGCAAGCTCTGCAGTTATGGTTGGCACCAGCAACCTCTGTGAAGCGGCTGAGCACCCAAACTCTACGCTTGGATTCAACCCCAGCTCTAGCCCCACCACTGCCTTGCTCTATTTGGGTAGTTTCCTTTAATCACCCACCCCTCGATTTACTCCTCTACGAAACAGGGATAATACAAGCAACTCACAGGGTTGTCGTAAGATTAAATGAGACAATGCGTGTAAGGGCTGCGCCCGATGCCTGATCTAGACGGTGTATCCAGCACCTCCTAGGCACCTCACACTGAAAGGAGAGAAGCACAGAAGGGCCTTTGCTCCAGTACAGTGTTCCATAGGACGGGGAGATAGATAATTACAAAAATATCAGGAAGTCCTAAGGCTTTGCAGAGTTGTTGTGACAGAAAGTAACCGAATGTCTACTTGAGCGAGGGTGAAGGCAGAGGGCTGCTCTGAAGGCAGGGCTCTGTCAGTGATTGTTATTTACTATTATTTGTTCTGACTTTACCCTGAAAACCCGTCAAATTGGCAAGAGCAGCCGAAACCTGGCTTGCCTTTCCCTGACGGAGAAAGGAACAGGGCAAGGTAAGGTTCCCAGGAAGACAGAGCAAAGAGAGAATTTGCCAGGGGTAAGGGTTGAGGTAAAGAAAGCGGGGAATCCCAAGATTTTTTACTTAAATTTAATTTTAAATTATTTCTGGCAGACTCTCTTTAAAAAGCTCTAGCATTCACTGCTTAGGGATATTCTGGGTTTACCGATCTTGTTCTCTATAGACGACAGCTCACAGCAATTATTCCACAGATACTTCGTCTAATAGGTATCTGACTCCTCCTCAGCTCCCAAAGGAGAAAGAAGCACTCAGAGTTTGAGAAATGACCAGTCAGCTAAGGCTGCAAAGATGGCCAACTTCAACTTTTCCATCCCTTCTGTGCTGACCCAAGGTATGTGGTTTCCCCACATCCCATTCAGATCTGTATCGTACTAAATAAAAGATTGGCCTCCTACCCCCATACCCTCCCCATACGGTAAACGCCTCCAGAGGAGGAACTCTAGTTTTTTGGCCTCTGTTTCCCCAGAATCGGAAGTAGGGCCTTACAGACAACAGATACTCAAGGAGAATCTGTCGAATTGAGGCCACTGGCTTCAGCGCAAGGGACAGCCAGACCGGGCACCAGAGATTTGGATCTGAGCTCTGACAATCACTTTAGAACCCCTAAGCAAGTCACTTGACTTCTCCAGCCTCCCTTTCTTCCCTCATCTGTAACCGTGCATGTGCTGGGAAGAGCAAAGTGACAGCAAGGCAGCCTATTGGGTTACTGTGAGAATCAAAAATAACCACTTGAATAACTAAAATACTATTCATAAACGAGGGGAAAGTCTTGAAGAAAGAAGAGCTGGGGTGGGGGGAGACTTAAACAAAGACCCACCTAGGGAAGATCTGCTTTCTCCTTTAAGATTTCCCAGTGATAGAAAAGGAGAGGACAGGGGAATTTGGAGGAAGGGATGTTTCTGGGGTCCAGGATACTAACTAGAAACTGGGATCTGGACTTCCTCCAAGCCAGGTACCTGTCTCTGTATTTTTCCTCTAGTTCTCTCGCTTCTTTCCAGGGCTTCTTTCTCTTCCCTCCTCCCT